TTGGTAAAACTGATAAATACATTAGTTTAAGAATATTACAATTACGATATTTTATATAGCAAAGTTGATCCTTCATGAACAGATCTCCAGCGAAAAAAAAAATAATAGTCTGTTTATTCAGTGCGCTCATTTCCAAATATTGTACCACGAAATTTTATGTTATAAAGCTCCCGAAATTGTGACATGATGAAGAATTTAGTTTAACAATTTGATATTTGTAACACGGTTGAAATGAACAAGAATTATTTTATTTAAACTTCTAAACTATGTACAAAAAATACCAACAAATGCCATCCTTAACATGGTTTGAGATTGTTGTGGAGTTCAAATTTTATTCTAAATATCCAAGCGAAGAAGCGATATAAACTCAACGCAAGTTCTTAACTTGTCATGGTCAACAAACGTACAGTTGTTCATGTTCAAAATATTGAAAGTTTAGCAAGAGAGTTAAATTTAGGGTAGTTAAACTTAATTTATTGTCACTTTCTGCTTTTGTTTTAAGTAAGTGAGTTGTAGACTCCTTTGTATTTATAAAGAGAGCCGCCATTTTATTTTTTGAAATCATTAATTGCACTTCTGTGGTGAGTGCAATTATTAGAATAATTGCACTCCGATCCCCTTAATTAATTAACCAATCAGATTGTGTAATTGTTTCATGTATAAACAAAGTATAATGGCACTCTTCTGAACAAATCAGAAATGTATGATACTATATAATGTATGTTATTGGATATATAAAAAAAGCAATTAAATAAATCAATAACTGAAGTGTACCTACGTCAGGACCATACATGTGGTAATAGAAGTGGAGACAGGAATGAGTTTTTGTCGTTGATGGCGAGATCAATCGAGCTTTGTCCTTTGGCTGTCTTGAATAGGTGTCAATGTATTTATACCAACCAAGTGCTGAAATGAGAGACATGATGTTTATTGATGGTAGGCTAACATGAACGAAGTTTATGCGTGGTGCAGTGATGATTGCATCTAGTAGGCCTAGGTAATCTATATACGCGAGTGTTTATCTAAGAGAGAGCATGTTTTGTCTATAGTTTGTATTAAGAAGAGTGTTTCTGTTTGACTCAAGCAATCAGAGAATGTTTCCTCGCGAGTACGCGGTAGTAACACTAAATAAATAAGGAATTGGTTTATTTTTTGTTTAAAAATTTAGACCTTGCAACCACAAGATTGAATTAAATCTATCATTTATATCTTGAAACCATGTCGGAATATTAAAAACTGCCAAAGCGCTATCGTATGTTAATGATGAATAATGATTTTGAAAACGGTAGACTGTTATCCTGTCGATATCTTTTGATAAGTATAACTAGGGAAATAATAAAGTCAAATTTGGGTAAAGTACTCCAAGATTGGTCTTAAGCATGTTAAGTCCACTTTATTGAAATATGCACTTCTGAAAACGTATATTTCGTACTTCATAATGACATACATTATATGCCTACATATTTTTTGTGTTGAAGTAGTCCTTCCACACAGAAATTGACACAGATATATGCAACTGGTATTTGCTATATTGTTGACGAAAATTTATGGTATTTTAGGCATAAAATACCCTGATTCCTAGGAAAAGTAAACTGAGCCTTGAGCACATGTTTGATTGTGTGTTACATACATAATAGACTGGTCAAGTATTCATATATCTTACTAGTTTGGCTCTGGAGTGTATTTTTATTATATTTCAAGTGGGGTCATGTAAATAATATATGCCTATAAAAAGTTTTTATTTGTAGTGACGAAGATATTGATTAATAGAAAGCAACCACGTGTAGAAAATGAACGATTTGCTTCGCGATGCCAAGTAAATCTACAAACTTGTTTTTCTGGTGTCGAATTAAAAATACTGAAGAACTCACGTCTGTTATTGCGAGTTAAAACAAAATATTATCCCAATTGGAGAGAATCAGGATAAGATAACTAGCGTACAAGGAAATACAGGAAGTATTTCCACTGGAAGTATTTCCACAAATAGAAGTATTACAGAATACCCGGTCCATCACAGCAGTATCATATCATGTAGCCCGGCCACTATTTCACTGAATATACGTGTACCAGATCTTGTTGTCTCGTTCTAACATACACAAACTGATTACTAAGACAATATTACGAATTGATACTATAAAGAGTTTTAATGTTTAATTAATATTATGCTTAGTATGCTTTATAATAATTTTTCTCCCAGCGACGCTAATTAATCATAATGGTGGGAATGGCGAAAAAAAAACTTGATAAAATATGTCAGATGTCATCACCACACAAAATATGAAGCCACAATGTGTCCTGCTCAGATTTTGACATCTCAACCAAGCAATACAATGTTTTGAAATCACAATTTGCGTGCGCAAGACACACTGGGAAGGCGCATCTAATAAGAAGAATATCTCCTGAATATTTTGTTTAAGGACGCGCGTAAATGATGCGTCCGACTATCAATGAGGAGTGCGACTGTCCACGGAAAAAAATTTGCGGCGATGCCAGCCCAACAACACTTGGTCATGCTATATGCAAATATTTTTAGACGGTATTGAATATGCATTTTGCATTTCTGGTAAAACTCTTTCAGAATCCGAGACCATGACATTATCGAACATTATGTTCTAGATTGTGAAAACAATCAATTTCTAAAGAAATGAGTAATGATTTTTTTAAAATTTGCATAGCATGACCAAATCATCGGGCTGGCTATGCCACTGATCACTAAATCAATGGTGTACAGATTATCTAAGCATGTATATAGTAACCGTAAAAATAAAGACATTTTGCAAATAGTGATTTGACTTATTTGGTGCCATACTATCCTTGGAGAGTACGAAATATTGGATATTTGGTGAAAAGTATTGATAATATGCTGCAGCAATGAAAAACAACCTTTGAGAAGGGTATTTGTTCATGTGACCACAAAATGTAAATTTTGCTCTACCGCGTGTCCCAAAAAAAAACTTGCGCTGTTTGATTTGATTTTATTGTATTCACGTGAGCCTAACTTAGATTTTGATTTACAGTCCTAAAAATGTCATTTAACATTACGTGAGATACAAACGTTTGAATCTGGCGCACGTTTCGAAAATAAAAAAAAAACAAATAAAAAATCGAGAAACATGACTGACCAAATTTTTATGAAAACAATTTCCATTTTCCCCAAAATTAACAACTTCAATTTTAGCATTTCATCTCAACTTTAGCCTCGGGTAATGTCTTAGTACAGTATAAGTTAGCTTTCGTATTTCTTGGGAAGCGAAATAAGCATAAAACATTTAAAAACGTTAGAAAGCATATTTGACGTCCTTTGCCTTTGGGATTTCGTATTATAAAGTTGGTCTTCGTTCGTCTTTCGAATATGCCTCGATTAGCAAAAGATCAAAGAGTTTGGGTTTTATGCTTTCCCTTGCAAGACATTGTTTACCTGAATAAGGACATACTTTCTAAGACGAATGAATAAACTGTTTATCCAACAGATTAGTTTTTCATTCGTTTTTTTTAGTCACAATAAAACTATATATTAAGTTTAACCAAATAATATTTGATAGGCGGAAATTTTATGCAAATTTTTAAAATTGTCAGTTATACTTATTCGAGTTAAAACATCGATAGTTCCGTCAATATTGCACGGGCATTCAAATGTTATATTTCAAAATCTAAGTTAGCCATTTCAGGATACAATTAACAGCTGTTATAATTTTTACGTTACATTAAATCAAACAGCGCAAGTTTTAAACTGTAGCTGGTGGTTATCACCACTTTTGTCAAAGACTTGCTGATATGACGGGCAGGCCTGTTCAAATGAGAATATCAGAGAATATCTCGGTGAGTCATTTGTTAATGGATATAATGCATGGAATGTTACGCCGAATACTAGGAGGGTGGTTAGACTTGCTATGCAAATAATGATGTGCGCATGCGTTGTTAAGCATAGAATATGATTGATATTTACCAGTGGTCAGACTTATAGTGTGACATCAAGGACATTCACGACCTTTTCAGACCATGCTTGTTGAATAAGGAGCGCAGATCCTTCTTAATTATTATTATTTGGCTTGGTGCTTGTTGCTTTGAGAGTGCCCAAGCCGTCGTCTCTATAATAACCAAATTTATTACCGTGCTTCATTGTAATAAGGTGTAGTAAAAACGATCCGACCAATACAAATGATTAGGCACGATCAAAGCTACTCATAGTGACATCAAATCGATTTAATGATAATTAGTTTCCCCAGTGCTTGCCCGAGTTATATATACAAACACGATTTCTTTGCGTGTAGAATAATTTCTCTGCATGGCTGTATCTGTGATGTTATCATACCGGGACGCAAAATCTAACGCAGCCTTCAGAAGATAAATTGAGATGGACTGATAAAAGTCAACAAAATCAAATGCAAAAAAAATTATTACTGGCTCTTTTCAGCAACTTTATTAATTTAAACCAGACAACACAGATTTAGTGTTTTTCCACTGGCTTAATTTACGTAGCTTCGATGACTTTCGTATTAATTCTCCCCAGGATGTGTTTGCTATCTCTTCCAGTTTCGGATTTGCTCTGGTTGTTCAGGCGAAAAGGCGTGTTGTTTTCTAAATTTGGTTAATAATCTTTCGACGTAACGAAAGCTAATTCTATCTGTAACGAAAACTAATTCTATCAGCAAGGTTTAATCTTTCAGCAACAGATTTAGCTTCATTTTCAATGTTGCATACTGTTTCAGCCGAAGTTCTCTTATACGTTTCCGTGATGTTCTTATGAAGAAGATCATTGTAAGAGAAGAAGATCATTATATATATATATATATATATATATATATATATATATATATATATATATATATATATATATATATATATATATATATATATATATATATATATATATATATATAAAGACCCAGCCGCGGCAGACAACATCTTTCAGTTTGCGCTGGGTATGGAAATTATATAATACACACTCTAGAACATTTTCATCTTAATATATATGTGTGGTACGAAACTAATAGTAATAAAGATGCCTAGTGGAATTTGTTGAGTCGTTGCACTTATTTTTTATATATATAAAATAAGTGCAACGACTCAACAAATTCCACTAGGCATCTTTATTACTATTAGTTTCGTACCACAAGATGTGGCACTCATCAGATAAATTAGCCTTATGACTACAACAAAAAACCTACAGTATTTATGTACAAGTGGATGAAAGCTCTAAATTAATCCTATTTACAAAGCACGCAAAGCAATTATTTTGTTACTTGATAAAATTGACAGGACGCGGAATGTATTAACAACACATCAGCATAACGCTAAGCTATTAACTGCCAGACATATTTACTAAGTTCAGTGGAGTTCCTTTTCTCGTACAAAGTAAATGAGGTTTTGTGGTTGTAATATCTAGTTTTAAAAGCGTTTTCAGTCAGACCAACGTATGTTTGAGGTGGACTACCAACGACAATAGTCCACCTCAAACATACGTTCGTCTGACTGAAAACGCTTTTAAAACTATAGATATTACAACCACAAAACCTCATTTACTTTGTACGAGAAAAGGAACTCCACTGAACTTAGTAAATATATCTGGCAGTTAAAGCGCAAAGGGATTGAACTTCATATTAAATGGCAAACCTTGAAACGGGCCAAATCCTACAGCCCTGCTTCTAATAGATGTAATCTCTGCCTGTGGGAAAAATACTTTATTATATGTAAACCTGAACTGGCTACTTTGAACAAACGTAATGAATTAGTGTCTTCATGCAGACATGCGAAAAAATTTCTTTTAGCTAACATTTAAAGGGCATGCATTCGAGACAGAAATATTTTTGTTTTAAATATACCGCGCAATTTAAAGCGCAAAGGAATTGAATTTCATAATAAATGGCAAACCTTGAAACGGGCCAAATCCTACAACCCTGCTTCTAATAGATGTAATCTCTGCCTGTGGGAAAAATACTTTATTATATGTAAACCTGAACTGGCTACTTTGAACAAACGTAATGAATTAGTGTCTTCATGCAGACATGCGAAAAAATTTCTTTTAGCTAACATTTAAGGGACATGCACTCGAGACAGAAATATTTTTGTTTTAAATATACCGCGCAATTTAATAGCTTGGCGTTATGCTGATGTGTTGTTAATACTTCCGCGTCTTGTCAATTTTATCAAGTAACAAAATAATGGCTTTGCGTGCTTTGTAAATAGGATTAATTTAAAGCTTTCATCCACTAGTACATAAATACTGTAGGTTTTTTGTTGTAGTCATAAGGCTAATTTATCTGATGAGTGCCACATCTTGTGGTTCGAAACTAATAGTAATAAAGATGCCTAGTGGAATTTGTTGAGTCGTTGCACTTATTTAATTATGCTCTGCATATCCATTGAGCACTCTGCCAAATGTTTTTGTAAACAACAAAGGGTTTTTGCTTGCGTGTAATTTCTAGCGTAGAAATATTATGTCTCTAGAAGTATCGATCGTTTATAGAAGTGCACGAATAAAGGTGATCCAGTAATATAAAATTTGTGAAAGAATTCTATAATAATGCAGTAAGATTGCTTACAGTAGTAAAACATTTTTAATAGGAAATTCCAGCTTTTAAATTATGCACGCAGGGGGTGACGGGAAGTAAAGTATAAAATTGATGATTACACTTAATAAAATAGATAAAACATGCGGAAACAACCGAAATATTTCAATAGTTACAAGTATAAGCTATCACTCCTTCTTTACACTGCCGCATTTTTATATTTTAGCATGATCAGCAATGTAATACTTTACTCCCCCCTCTGCGCGCATAAACTAAAAGCTGGAATTGTCTAGAGTGAATGACGCTTTCTGGACCTCAAGGAACAACAAAAATTGACACAGCTTTCCAAGAAATGAAGTCACAAATATGCGACAATACCACGTACTTTCCTTTTGAATGTAAATCACATAGTGATACATCTCACAACCTTGACGATTTACTCATTTAAATTAAGCAACAAGTGATACTTACTCGGCACAAACTTGAAGACATTTTGTGATTCATTACAGGCTCAGTCAAGCACGAGCATGATAGTATTATCTGGACTCGCCCCTCCAGTCTCAGGCTTAATACACATTCCCTGCTTGTACTGCAGCGATCCATCGAAAGTCCAACTCCATTGGTCTGTCACATCACAAGTACTGGAAACGCCCAACTTAAAAATTAAAAATTGAAAATTAAAAAAGCAAGTTGTTAGGAATACGTAGGTATAGGTAGGTAGGTAGGTAGGTAGGTAGGTAGGTAGGTAGGTAGGTAGGTAGGTAGATAGGTAGGTAGGTAGGTAGGTAGGTAGGTAGGTAGGTAGGTAGGTAGGTAGATAGGTAGGTAGGTAGGTAGGTAGGTAGGTAGGTAGGTAGATAGGTAGGTAGGTAGGTAGTAGGTAGGTA